ACCATGACATCTCGTAGAGGTATGGAGAGGTTAGCCTCAGCATTGACTTCGGTTGGTGCAGCTCGCCTTCTAAGCTGGGGTCCAAGGGATGAGGATTGCCGATAGCTAGAGACGCTTGTGTTTCGCATGTCACCAAATATGTTTCCACGGCGATTGATGTTTTCGGAGGCAGTTTGCGATTGGAATAATGTCAAGTGCGTCCAAAGAACGATCTGGCATGAGGGTATGAAAGCCCGAACCAGTGGAGTAGGTCACATAGGTCCCATTAGGCTCCTCAAGATGATGGTCACCGATGGTTCTGCTGCTTTCCCTTGAGGACTTGTGCCGAAGATGGTACTTCTGCTTTTGTGGGAGGTTTACATCACGTTTTCCACGGAGCTTCATTCACGGCAGATGCAGTAATCTGGTTGGCGCCACCTCTGTTGAACTGTTCGCTGAAGCACTCAGCACACCAATCACGTAACTGTTCCGTTTTGTGCATAACTCGTCTAATTTTATCGCGGTTGTATGAAAACCCTATCCAGGTGAATCGGTCGTCATACAGGGCGCATTAGACTCCTTGGATTGGGACCTCGAGATTATTATAATCCATGGTTAGTGACACAGCGATACGTCTGAGTGCCGTAAACAGTGGCGCTCGTGCAACCTTAGTCTACCGGAATTCTCAATTCGATACTACTTTCAGTTTCTCTGTTTTTCTCCAACGGCTTCATATAAATGGTCAGCGAAAAGATAGCAACCAAAACCACTGCATGAAGGTTTATGGCTAATGGTTGTACAAACTGAAAGTGAACTAGTTCTTCTTGAGCTAACACTGCAGGTACCACTAACACTTGCGTGGATCCTGGCCGGTCGGGATTTTTCTTTTTTTTCTCCACCGGGGTTAATGAGTCATGGGATATCCAATGACCCAGGGTTTACAACCATTAACCATGCACTTTCGTACACCGGTTTTGGTTCCTGTCTTTTGGATAGAAGAGCAGAATCAGGGTTAGGATTTTGAAAGAAAATTATCTTGGTTTGTGCTTTCATTATAGAAACAGGAGAACAATCAGCTCTCGCAACCAATTTTGACAAGAACCTGACCTCAAGACAGCAGGTAAATCCAAGTCGAGGTCCATTTACTTGGACCAATCTTTCGTCATTGGTTGCCGACAGAGGACAAGACGAGTCGGTCTTCCAACCTGGAGGACCAGAAAAATAAACTTTATCTGACCTCTACCATCTGATCCCCCAGGTGTAAACTCTTTTGATTTTCTAAAAGTGCTCCTGTGTAGCTCATTGGGTCATAGAGATGCACAAGCCAGCACACTGCGTCAAGGTGCAGTCTCCTCCTTGTAGTCGTTGGATTTGATAACAGACTGCGGGTGTTCCAAGTTAGATTATCACGAAAAAGTGAACTATCTAAATGTCTTCCGAAGTGTTAGGTAACTGGGAGGGAGCTTACTGTGTGCATAAAACGCGTTCGGTTGGACTAGGAGATCGATGCTATTGAGTAGTAAATATACTGCTGGCTGATTACCGAGAAGAACCCGGTGCTCCATACTGATTCATTCTGCTCCTGGATAGTCAGTTCTATTCTAACCCCAGAATATCACAAATTAGACTAAAGCATAGGTTTTATCAAATCTCAAATAGTAGATTAATTTAGCTTAGAATATCATATTGTAGTTTTCACTTAATTTTGGATTTGTATCAGTCAATCGAGTAGACTAACTGGGTTTCCGGCCTCCTGCATGTTAGTACCCACTACCTTTTTATATTTGACTGAATAGAGACATATCAATTGCACAGTAAACACGTGTGAACTGTCCTGGTCATTGGGAGTGATTCAAGTTATTGTCATGTGATAAAAATAGTTCTCAACAAAAACACATAGGGGCTGAAATTCGAATCCATTTCATGCGGAATTTGTGATGAAGAAAAAATGAGGCGATTTGCTCATTCGAACTTGTTGATCTTTTCACATTTCACTGGAGCAATCTGAGTGCACTTGTTTCATTTCATCTTCCAATCGCTTTTTCAACTTTCGCTCCCGAGCTTCCGCCCGCAATGCGGGAATCCGTAGACCGACGATAAGCAGGACGTGCAGACTGGCAATAAACACTAAAATAGCACAGGTTGCATAGCAAATGTCGTAGCTTTTCCACCGATCGTACACGACGGACATGATTGGTGGTCCCAACAAATAACCGGCTCCAGAGGCCATCAGACTGACACCCAGCGCTGTTGTCAAGTCGTCTTTTGGGACCAACTCACCCATTATAATTGGTTGTAGCACAACGTAAGCACCTTAAAGAAGTGTTTGTGTGTCATGGACAGAAGACCTAGCCAAAACTTACCGCAAGAACAGCCCAGAAGCGCTGCATAACCTGCGAAATGGAGCCAATGAGACATGTAATTTGATGCCATGTTAATGACTGTGTAAAGTAATAACCAAAATAGCAGAAAAGGTAGCTTCTTGCACCATTTGAATGAGGCCATTACTCCCACACCGAGACGGGTTATGGCTCCAAAAATCCCAACGGCTGATAGAATTAAGGAGATAAAATTTTCCGGGACTTGTTTGATTCGAAGACGATCGAACATGTAGTTGACTGGGGGCATGAATGTAAATGAGAACAGAAATGTGGCGATCAGTAACAGATCATAGTCCACATTGGTAAATAATTGAAATCGACTCCGCTTTTGTCTCAGACCTTTTGGAATAAGCTGATCCAGCTGAGCCATGTAAACAAAGGAGCCAAAATTTCCCAGAAAATGATTCATTCGTTTGTCATCAATCAGTTCGTTTAACATTAGTGTGGAATTGATTGCAGCAGAAGAACCGAATATTTGCGATGGCATTCGCAAATCTCGTACAATACCTTCGTCCAAAAACATCAGATCAGTTGGACCGGCTGAAAAAACCATTGATTTACGCGCCACTTGAACATGCACTCGGGATACGAGCATAAATCCAAACAAACCCAGATTTACAGTGATTGCTGCAAGGACGAACATCGTTTTTCGCCATTCGAGTGATTGTACCAATGAGGGAATCAAAATGCTCATAATTGACGATCCTAAAATGGAGTGAAATTTCCAAAATGTTTCTCGAGCTAACCAATGCCAGTTCCACATGTGATAATGCCCATTGCGATTGATCGTTTGGATTCAAAATTCAGCGTTACTGCAACGACTGCACTCATGTAAGCTAGACCGATCCCAATTCCTGCAATGCAATACTAAGGTTAAGTGTGTCAACGTTAACGTACCGCTAAGAATGCCGTAAAATATGTAGAGCATGGCGATATGCACGGTAAAACCACAGGCAAGGAAACTTAACAGGCATAAGATACCGCCAATCAGTGAGACAAATTGTGCGCCAATTTTGGCAATTAACTGACCTGCTATAGGTCCTGTCGGGCCGTTTTAACCAAACACGGTTCACGTACCTAGACAAAATGCTAATCCCATTTGGGTTGATCCAACCCAATCGAGCGCAAATCGAGTTGCGTTCATTTCAGGCATCCAGTATGAAACATAAATCCCAGCAACACACATTGTCCCATCATTGATAGCGATCATACAGAATGCTCCAAACACAATTGACACACAACGCAGTTTGTCGACATCAAACTTGGGGAATCCCATGGTTTTGGCGATTCTTCAAGGCACAATGAACCAAACTGGCTGTTTGTGTTCAAATCCTCGCCATTCAATCTATAGTTATCGATCTCATATTAACACACGTCAGCTGATGTCTGTCGGTACAGTTCATCGCATTGTATTGGTAAAACATGTAAGGATCTAAACCTGTTTCTTATCTATGAAACAGTCCCGATACCCGGCACGGTATTCAACCAGTACATTTTAGTAAATTGTGCTTTTCTCGAAGCGTCAGATTGGGAAATTTCATTGACTGCAACATGTTCTGTCGTTGCAAAGATGTTCGCACCTATTTAGAAACGGTCGTGTTCTTGAAATATCCAGTCCGCTTGTCCTACTTATATTGTGCGTTTGTGTGAGTGTACTCTAACAACTGTACGCCGGTTTGAAGAGACTTTTTCTCAGTATACCGACACATGGAGAAGATTGAGAGCGACATTGTTTTATCTAGTCACAAGGATTTATTCAGATAACTCTACAAAATGCATTGTTTTAAAAGTACCACTCATTCTCTGATTGGGCTTAGTATGGCTTACCATCCGTATTCCAGGGTTAATGATAGGAGTTTCACATGGCTAAAGTAACATTCAAAGTTTTCAGCTCTTTTTATTGATGCAACAATCAATAACAGGTCATCTATTCCATCGACTCATCGTGGTAAGGACATTGATTCAATTCGCGGTATTTCCTTTTTATACAATTCCAATGTATCACCTTTAACTGATCCGTTTTTCTGTGGTTGATTGATGTCCATCTTTCTTATAAAGTCGTCATGGCACTCTATAATCGGGATCCCGATTGTGTGCTAAAACGATGCTAATAAACCCGAGTTTCTCTTTTGTCTTTTTTATTTGACTCTCATTTCCTGTCTGTTGGACGCTGACTCTTTTTAATTCCTTTGTAATCAATCATCAAGAAAGTATTTATTGGTCTTATGTGGTCATCTTTCAACGCGCTAATTATTCTTATCTGCGACGCAGACAATCGTTGTCCAAGTTCAACAGTGGTATTCATCAGTAAAAGTGATACGTAGGATCATTACAAGGGTCACTGTTTATGGTAAGCGAAGAACTACCATGTTCAAAGAATATCACGGTTTGGTCCTAAAACGTTGGTATATAAACAAGTTTTTTCTTTGAATGTTCTTCCGGGTTTTACAGTTACATGTACACTTATGTTTAAGATGAATTAACGGTTTCATTGATCGTTGAAATGGTACCGTTCATCAACAAATACTCGCTGTACGTACAATACATGCATGAATGAAACTCTTTGTGATCGATGTGATTGAGAAATTCCGACTAACCGATGCCGTTTCGGGATCGAATAACGGCTCGAGTTTGCGGAAGTGCATTGATGTAAGACAGAATAAAAATTGTAGTCGAAAGGCTGGAACTGAAAACACGCTGAATAACGAAGTCAGACAGCCAAGACGATCTGTGGATACAATTGATTTTATTTGGAAAAGCATATTACTAAAGATCACAATTATCAGTCAAACATTAACCCATTTGTCGCCACTCAATCGGCATCGACATGGCCAGCTCGTTAGCTTCCCGGCAATCAGCCAATCCGATGGCATGTACTTGAGCTCACAAAATTGGCCGGAATTTCTGACTCTTGGTTCGTTGTCTGGCAGCTATATCGTGGTGCGTGCTGTTGGATCTTGTTGCACAACCATCACTTTCCTCCCTCGAGAAAGCCTCATCCATTTGACTTATTTTGGAAAGTAATCTCTTAAACGTGACACTGGTTGAGGCTTCTAGTTCCGTTCAAAGTCAACGGCATCATCAGGAATCATCACTTCTTCATGCGGCTCCGATTGATTTATATTTCATTTGCTTCTGAAGTGTATCTGATCAGTATTGCAATAAAAAATTGTCCAGAAGCGCCTCACAGTCTGCTGTTGATTTTGGATGCTCATAGTTCAGCGCATCCTCAACTGTTTTCATTCGATTCACATCTGCACCAATTAAACACGGATGCTTCTAGACATTCGACCTGTTGTCATCCGCGGGAATTGCAATCAAGCCACGCTTTTGTTTTCGTTGCATTTAACTGAATATTATTGTCCGTGACGAGCACTTGCGGTAAACATTTCCGGCTGGAGCGTTTCCGAGGAGCATAGATCACAAAGAACATTGTTCTCATCATTGTAGTAAACACTTTGGGTCACCATGAACACATCAATAGGCACATTTGGACACAGTAACAATTCAACAATGGTCCGCACAGATCCGCATATACTCTGCCATGGAGTATAACTATGGTCACCGGTCTACTCTTTCGGTCTTGACTTCACCTTGTACAGCCCTGCCTCGTGATTCTTTGCAGTTGTGCAAATAACTGCATCCAAATCGAACCGCTAACACACTTGCCGGGTCGGAGATTTATGTGGTGACCCTAGCCTACGGGATAACACCAGCCACGGAGTGACGCGTTGCAGTTTCCGGACAACAGTGATGAGTTTACACTTCCAGATGACGCCAGCCAAGTGCCTCCGCGTTACGGTTTCTGGACAACGAACCACAGGCTAATCGTGCCGATCAATCAGAAGCTGTGTGGTCCGGACAGAAGGTGTATTACAGCAAGAATACAAGCAGGCGATTGGCGGATGCCTGTCTAACCAATAGACTTCCTTTGTACATGTTATTTATTCTCCTTGATTTCTTCCAATAAATGAATTGCTACTTCTGTGGCCGTTTTCTTACACCTTGGTTACGTGAGATACAAGCGTGCAGATGCTAGTGCAATCGAGCGTTTCCGTTGCGATTTTGATTCGTATTTCGTGATCTGTGCCTACTTTAACTTCTAAAGTTTCGTCTTCTCTACTCTCTCATGATCATTGTCGCGATCCTCCAAGAGTGCCTCGCACAGGGGCCGGTGGTATGACTGATCGACCAACACAAAATAAAATCTTGTGAATATATTGCCAACTCCGCCCGATGTGTATAGAACTGGGGATGTCTTCTCCTTACAATTCTTTCGAAACAACCAAAGTGATCAAATAAGAGCAGTAATTTGTATTACTTCCCAAAAGGGTTCCGTTAGGTGGCAAAATTCTATCTTTGTGCTATGGGAAAGTATCAGTTCATCGATAACAAATCTATCTTGGTTATTCGCC